GTGTTTTATTCTCATGTTGTCATGTAAATAAATTACAATATTGTCATTTGTTACAAAAATAACATGAAACATAATCAACCCAAAGAGACGTGGACTCATCCGTTTCTGAATTTTGAATATGAGAATCTTTTCTGGAAAAACTAAATTATCGTCGTTTGTCATTTTACAAATGTTTCAACTAAAATGTTTCAAGAAGTGAACGTTTTACCTCCCATGGTTATAAAGAGTAACAATCAGACAATGAGAGTTGCCAACAAATGAAAAAACAAAAACACGAATTAAAAAGCTAAAAAAATCTATCCATTCCACAAAGTTTGGACTTAACCCTTTCTACACCATGAAAACCTACACTTGTAGCGTTTTGACTGGTTTATAACAGTAAAAAGAAACCTGAACTCTCAGACACTAAAAAAAACTCTCATACATTATCCATTATAATCAAAAAGAAACACCAGAGTAACTTATATCTGTACGTACTCAAGCATGAATCACTTAACTGGATGTTTTCAAAAGTGCAGCGCTGTTTGTCAGTGCTGGTTCTTCATTCCCTGTGGTTTGCCTGCTTTCTTATCCGACTGCTGCTGCTGCTGCTGCTGCTGTCCCCGACCAGGACCAGACATCCCTCTGCCACGGCCGCCAAACAGACCTGCAGAAAGAACGCAGGAGGAGATGATGCTCGCCTGTGTTCGCTCTGACAACCAATTATTTCTGGATTAATAAAAATMATCCCGTTTACCTCTTCCAGGTCCTCCTCTTCCTTTGCCCTGCTGTTTGTTCTGCTGGGAACCACCGCGGCCGCGGCCCTTTGACGCCACCTCCTCCTTCACCATGTCGATGATCTCATCGGGGATCCGCAAATACTTGATGGTGCTCCCTCGGATGTAGCACTCAGGCATCCTCCAGAATTTATCTCCGTCCTGTGAGAATGAAATGAGAACGAGACTATGAGCAAGATTCTGTTTCTCAAAATTTCATGAACAGTTTTTTGTTGGATAACATATTTTCTCTTGCATTTTCAAATTTAGTTTGATTTGTAGGAGACTAGTCCACATTTAGTGATGACATGTAATGGACAGTATAGACAGGTATTCAGTGAATGGCGCTTGTAGCGACTTCGATCCAACAAAAAAGCCGCTGCCGGCCGAGAAGTTTTAGTTCCGTGACGCGTCTCCAAAAAAAGATCATCCATGAGTCCAATACAGTTTTTAGGCATTTGATTTGAAAACAAAAATAAATTGTACGGAAAGCGCTTTGAAGCATAATTACGAAAAGGATAAAAAAAATTAACAGAAGGATAGTGATTTGTAAATTCTGCAGAGTTTCACTTTCAGAGATGCTAGCTAGCTAATGCTAGCAACCTGCCTCTGTACCAAAGCTCTTTACTCTGGCCTCACACGATTTAGTCATTATTAGATATACATATTAATCTAGTCCTCAAACTGGGGCCCCAGGACCCCAGGGGTGAGGGGTATCTTGGGGTTCTCAAAAAATTTCATTAAATTGTTTATTTTTGATTTTATTTTTAAAAATGCATGAAGCACAATGAACTAATACAACAAACATAATAAACTAAGTAAAATATATATATTCCCATGGCATTTAGGGGTTGAAATGACAATAAATTATATTTTAAAACAGCATGGGATTTATGAGGCGGGGTGGTCCCTGGAATTTTTTTCGCCATTCTAAGGGGTTCCCAGACCCAAAATGCTTAAGAATCCCTGTTTTAGAGCACTYGTTTCCATTTTTTGTTCTGGTTTTGGTCTTGACTCAATCTCGCTCTCGACTTGGCCCAGCCCCTAAAAGTCTTGGTATTGAGACATTCTGGTCTTGACTTGGTCTCAGTTTAGGTGGTCTTGACCAAAAACACTCTACTGCTCACAAGCCAGTATTATGAACAGGAGCAAACTTACTCTGAGCTGCAGCGAGTGGGGGCTTTCTGACTCTGAGACTACTTTAAAGTCAAAAACGATTGCTCTCTATTTTGTACCTTTAACCTAAAAATATCAAATTGAAGTTTTTTAATCAAACTGTTAAGAGTGCTTTTTATTACAAAACGATGCAATGAGAATATTAATCACATTCACGGACTTTATACAGAAATCAAGTACTTTCCYACCCTGAAAACAGTTAAAAATCAAATATTTCATGCACCTGTACAGGGCTGCCACAAACGATTATTTTAATAATCGATTAATCACCGATTATTTATTCAATTAGTCGACTAATCGGATCATACGTTAATTGAATGTAAAACATACAGCTTATCACGTCAGAATACAGCTGCTATTATATAACCATCATTGGATTTTAGCTATATGCTAACTAAAAATAATTGCTGTGGAAGGCAAGTTCTGCTCTGCAGATATTGTACAGGTTTCTCTTTCATTTTCTTAAAATGATCCCACACTTTGAGCTCTGTTGTCAGGTAGCCATGATACCAGAGCTTGTCTGTATAATGTCTTGTGACGTCCACGGCCTACCCCAGTTACCACTACTGGGCATGTGTGTCAAGGACAGAAAGGCAGATGTGGCAGTGGAAGGTGTCAAAGCAGTTTGGAGAGAAAAACAAAGTAAAGAACAACAACAACAAAAAAGAAAACGATTAATCAATTATTAAATTAGTCATTGATTATTTTAATAATCGATTAGTCGTCAATTAATCGATTAATCATGGCAGCCCTACACCTGTATGAAAACGCTGAACTACAGATCTGCAGAACAGYGCATTTGCAAATGTTTTATCAAATCTGAATCCAGAGTGAGTTCAAATATTTCCATTAGAGCTGTCACATGTTACTGATAGCAGTAGACGGCATCTGAGACMTTACCCTGGATGTGCAGATGACCTCTCTTAGGTTGATGTTCATCCAGTTYTCACAGCTGACCAGGTGGCCGTTGTAGGTCTCTCCATTCTTCAGCTCCACCAGCTGAAAAGTAAACAGATGACACAAATAAACCTTTCAACTTACACCATTCTTCGCACCAATTGAAATTTCCAGACTCAGTTTGAAAGGTTGATCACTAATAATAATTTACACTTTACAGACAAGGCTATTGTGCAGAATGTTAAAGAGATTCCCAGACAGGCTGATTGCCTTCCTTCCTCACCATAGGATGATTCTGGGCAGTCTTCAACAGTGACAGGGGAAGCTGAAAAATACCAGACAAACCAGTTCACATTTAACTTTCTTAGAGTAATTAGTCTTCATCATGTTTGTCGACTACAGCATGTTACCTGATGGACACCAGTCCGTGTGTCTGACGTTTATTTGCATTATTTTATTATGAATTTACTCATATAAACTATTCTTACGACAAATAATTAAGGTCTGTGATTAAAGTGTGTCATATATAACTTTAACAAACGATGAAGAATCTATCCAAACTGTTTATTACGTGTACTGACTTTATAAAGAAGCACGGATTTAGCTTCGGTGGCTAACGTGAGTTAGCTGTCCTCTGAATTACACCGTTTTAAAAAGCTGTTCTCGCAGTTTTTGTCAGATGAATTATACATATACTACTCAACACGACTAAAACAATCAACTACACGAATCTACAGGCTATAAACTCACCATTATGATTGAATATTTTTCCTATCTTTCGCCGAATAACGCGACTTCCCCTCGTTAAATTTTCTTCTTCTTCGAATATTATGGCTCTGTTTTATTTCTGCTGCCCCCTGCTGTCAAAACCACGCATCGTTCTGCCCGCCCTCTTTCACCTTTTCTTAAAAAAAAAAAAAAAAACCGTTTTGCAAAAGGAGAGGTAAAATTCCGCCAAAGATCTTTCTCCTGGCAAATTGATGACTTTTCTACACACACACACACACACACACACACACACACACACACACACAC